GTCCCTCAACTCTGAGGAGGGGGACAAAAGGAATGTGACGAACTACAGACCTATTACCTTACTCATAGTAGCGTATAAGATCTTAGCCAAAGTCCTGGCAAACAAAACTTCAAGGACCAATTAAGACACTGACCCACCGTTTTTTTTTTTTTTTTTTTTTTTTTTTTCTAACAGGCTGGACAGGGACTACGTTGGGAGGGGGATAGGAGCCTCCCCCCAAGTAGCCCTGTTATCAGCCGCTTCATCTATTGGTGGGGAGCGTCACCTGCTGGAAAGTGGGTCCAGCGTTTCTTGAATGCACCAAAATTGGTATTGGTGTCTGTCTGAGATAGAGCTGCAGGCAACAAACAGACCAACACAGCTACGACCCCTACTTGACAGACCTACGGTTCAAGACCCGACGACCACACTAACCTGCGACAGACAACAGATGACTACCAATGCAGGCACAATCAGCCCACTACAGCAAAATTCCACTGCTATCCCCTCTTCCCTTCGCCCTGAGGGCATAATCAGACGGACTTCATGAAGCGAGGGCTATTCAAGAAAATATACTGTTGGTGAATGAAGTCCTCTAAGGATGTCCGAAGTTCTCCGAACATATACCAGGAGTGAAGCAGCCACTGTCTTCACCAATTTTCACGAAGGTCAATGATCATGTAAACTGGCTCTTTTTAAACCACTGTGTGGTCAAGAAGAATATGCCTCCTCCACTCCCCCTCTCCCCCNCCCCTCCCCCCCTCCTCCCTCTTCTTCAAACTATGGGTGGCCTTCCTCAACCACCAGGCTAGGACTAGTATGCAGGTGAATGGCCATCTGTCTGATTCAATCAGGCTCCAGACGTCAGCCAGACAGGGACGTTCTCTGGCCCCACACCTCTTTATAATAATAATGGAGTCCTTGTCAGCAATCTCCAAGAAAATCAGTCAATGCAGAGAATTGAGGTACTCAGCATTCCAAAAGATATCATACCCATCTGCTCCCTATTTGCTGACAACTTCACTATCCTCCCCCCGGAGCCACCAAAGAGAACATGTTGGAACTGACTGCCCTGGTTGACCAATTTTTGCAAGCTCTTTGACTTGCTGGTCAATATGGGAAATAACTTCAAATAAGACAGAGGGGTGGTGGATTTACCAGCAGAAGGGGAGACCCCTGGAATCTTTTTTCTTGTGGGCATGTGCATAATCATTCAATATCAAGAGAGAATATAACTGCCCCTGACGACCGACCAAAAAGAGCAGTGATACATGAAACTCGGTGTGCCCAGTAGTTTTAAAGAAGAAAACTATATAACTAACCTGTTTGGGGGATCACAAAAGAGGTAGTCACTGTGTTCTGTGCTCCCGGACCTCAGATTATGGATGGTCCAAGCGTAACCACACAGGGCCGTCTATGTCCAGCATCAGGGCTAAGCGAGGCTCACAGGTGTGTGTGATGATGCGTGTCTGTGTAGTGGATTTTCACCACCACAGCCCCTGTTCCAACCAGATAAGTAGATTCAATATTGATGCAGCTCTACCTCTATTGCAGACAATGAAGCACACATGAGATGAGCCATTTCAACAATGAAACAGTTTAAGCTCTATAGCAAGCGACATGGAGCAGAATAGATCCGTTATATCCCTTTCTTGACTTTCTTTTCTTTGGCTTTCTTCAGGGTACCCCTTCTATTTGTTATTGCAGCTCCCCTTTTACTGTGCCTCTCACATACAACGCTCGCCATGTTGATTGTGGTTAAGCGCCAGCTGCCCACATCCCCATGTGCGGCCGATGTGCCTTAAGGCCCTTAACAGCCCACTTGCACGTTACGAAAGGAGGCAGAGTAAAGGGGGAGGTATACTCCTGTTCATTTTTCTTCAGACCTCCAGCTTATATTTTGTCTGTTCTCTTAATGATGCTCATCCTTATGCCTTTACTAGTAGCACACAAGAGGAGGGGGGAAGGAAAGGGGTACTTGGGGGTGGAGTTCTGAAGGAAGCGAGGGCCGGGGAAGGGAGAAGCGGTAGAGGAGGGAAGTGGAGAGGCAAAGAACAGAACAGAGGAAAGACGAACTAACCAGGGTTCTCAATACTCACCGCTGGAGCAGACTACTCTAGACTAGCACAAGATGCCAGGCAGTGTTTGGGTTGCAAGAGATCTTGAGTTGAGAAGCATCCGTTGCCCATGGTAAGTGGCCACCTTTACAGACCATAGAGGACCAGTTCGGGTGCGGACTGTGGAAGCACCGCATCCAATTCTCGCAGTTGCAGTTGCTACATAGAATGGCATGGCGTAGACAGATGTCACAGGCTACATGGCTGTATGTGTGTGTGTGTGTAAGTACATACCGTACAGGACCAGTTCAGGCGTGGACTGTGGAAGCCCCGCATCCAATTCATGCAGTTGCAGTTGCTGCATCGAATGGGCTGGCGTAGACATATGTCATAGGCTGTGTGTGTGTGTGTGTGTGTGTGTGTGTGTGTGTGTGTGTGTGTGTGTGTGTGTGTGTGTGTGTGTGTGTGTGTGTGTGTGTGTCTGTGTGTGTGTTACATG